TTTTTACTTTAACGTATTTTGCAAGAATTTTTAGCATGTATTTTCTCCCTTCTGACGTCATTAAAAAAAAAATAGACAATGCCAGGAGCCTTAAAGTAAACTCTCGACTATCCGGAATTAATTGCACCCGGACTTGTTCTAATGCTTTCACGGGTAGCCGAACTTTCACCTGCAAGTCGGCGAAGTCGAACGCTCAGGTTGAGCATCTCATCCGATCTACGGCGCAGTGCCACGCAATGCAATCAATCTCACGAATGCATTAAGTTAAACACCGCGTGAAGTTATTATTTCAGGACGCGCGTTGCGGTACGTCAAGTTTCGAAACAAGCCTGTTTATTCACAAGAGACAGTGCACGTTATAATTTCGTCCACTGCAGCCGTATAATTCACCTCAAATGAGCGCGTCAACTCGATTCGAAAACTTCCTGGAGGAAATCCCGGGAAAGACGGCACGGATATTGATATTACATAAAGTTCACTCGCGAATGAAACGATGAATACTCCGAGCGGACTCATCGCGACGATTACTGCTGATAGAGAGATATAATGCGGCGTGAAATACAGATATATGTTAAAAGAGAACGCATTCCGCGAGAAATGGCGTGTCTATACATACCTCTCGGTATGAAGATAAAACGAGATTGAGAAATATATATTGATAGAAGGTGCTATTGCACACGCGGGATCTCCAAGGAGATCTTGTTTATCTCGCAAACAAATTCACGTCGGAATTAGAATTAGAAGCAACGTAGCTTCCTGATGTACTCCTGGCGACGATGTAACGTATCGCGTACGTACGTGACCGGCAGAGATGTCGCGGATAATATAAGCGAACTCGGGGGAAAAACCTGCTCGTCGTCATCTGCATACGCGGTAAACACGAAGTTAACGAAATAGAAAGAAAGAAAAAAAAGCAAAAAAGAAAAGAAAACACAGACTGTGGTGCAGTGTCTCTCAATATTTTTTGCAGTCGCGAGCCCTTCGTGGCGGATGCAGTTTTATTTCTTGGTTACTTTCCACTTGTTCTCGTCTGGTATCACTCCCGGTTTTCCATTTGTTCACCAGCGTCGGCCGACGTCAAGAGGAAAGGGAGACAATCGGAAATGCTCGACGTTCCACATTTGTGGTTTTTTTTATGTATTTTTTTATTTCAGCCTGTGAAAGTGTACGTCGTTCCGGCCGGTTCCGGGAGGCCATGTGGCTCATATGTTGATAACCGTCGCCGCGGCACGACGATAAATTAATACTCGGATCGTTCAATTATTCGATCGTTTCATCAAGTAAGGTCGCCGTTCGCGTTATGGTCGTGTTCCCCGGCTTAGCGCGCGAGGATCGCTTAAATTCTTGTCACGAGTGCAATCAGATATGCAGCCGGTGCAGCCTCAGTTGCTCTCAATAATTGATGCGCCCCAAGTTAACGCGGGATAACGCCGGACGTAAATTTAAGCTAGAGGCTATTTCGACGAGACAGAGACGTACGCGATCCTTTTTTTATTTTATATATTTATTTCTTTTTTGTTTTACGACGACTGTCACCGTCGCACGTGTGAGCGTGTCGAATATCGGCTTTGTAATTTATTTATATCGAGTATGGGTTTTGTAATAATTCAACTAAGCTCGTGTGAACTATGTTGCGTGAAGGATTTTCAATTTTGTTTCCTTCCCAATCCTCTTCGTTTCTCCCCCTTTCTTATATTTTTATATCACGCCGTGAAAGTGCATGTACGTGTAGCGGGTCGAACACGAGGGTGCACTAAGAGGAAATTTCATATCTAAGAAATAAAAGATATTTATTCGGTGGATAGTAACAACATATTACTTGTTCCGATGTAAAATATTGTTCAAATAAAAAAATACACACATGTCATTACATATTATTATATAATAATAATATATATTATCTTCAAGTTTCTCACGAAGGCAATTATTTGTTCTATTTAAAATAAATGAATTTAGATTTATAGATAAATATGTTACTACACATAGAAAAAGAATATTCTCTTGTTTGAAAAATATTTTTATTTTTAATATGTAAATCTTGAAATGAAGTTACGCAGCGTTAATGAAGGTAAATTATTTACATTAATAAATTTTATAATACGTGTGTATATATATATAATTTAACAGAGAAAAATATTTTTTATTAAAAATAATTTTCATAAGTGGGAAGCACTAAATATTGGAATGGAAATATTTCAAATACCGAAAGATATTATTATCAAAATAATCATATAAAAGACTTCTTATGAGACTATTATAATATTCAAATAAAATTATGATATTGTTGACTTTAAAATCCTTCGAACAAAATTATATTATCGTTGCTTATATGAAACAATGATTGTTAATTTGAATATATTAGCTTTCAGGAGATGCTAATTTCTTTTCTGTGTATAGTGAATAAACTGTGAATAAATATCTTTTATTTTTAGATATTTTTTCTCTCAGCGCGATTGAAAGTCGACATTGGACAGTCGATCAGAAGAAAGCGGAATGATCCAGCGCGGATACATCGAATATTTTAAAGAAATACCCGCGCATATACGCGCGAGCGTGTTCCACATGCGAATGCTCGCGTGTACGAATTCGTGGCCAATGGCATTCTCGGCATCACGTGTCCACGTGGAATTATTTCATTCTTCAAGTCAACCGGCCGCCGCGTTCCGGAGACCGGCCAGGCCGACCTTTGGAATTTCTCGTGCACGAATAAAGGCGATAAAAAGAAAACCTGAAAGCAGCACTTAGCGCGTTAATGCGCAGCGCTAAACGCCCGGCGTTGAATATGCAAGCGCGTGGCAGAAGAATGAGTATCTCGGTACGAAGCCTTCATGCCTTCTCTCACGAAGGAATCGGAACACGGTCAGTCAACGGTTGCTGGCAGGCTGTCGGGATTTCGCGCCGTTTGTGCGCCGATGTAAATTTAGATCGCTGTATGCTCGGTTTCGCGAAAATACGCCTTCCCGCTAAACGAAAGGAAGGAAGGAAGGAAAGTGGGCAGGAAGGATTGGGAGGAAGAGACGTCGTAATTCAGCAAATTAACGAAACGAAAAATTCTCCACTAAAGAGAAACTCGAAATCTTTCATCGTGTCTTAATATCACAACGATAAATTAATTTCTCCTGTTTTCTTTCTCTTTTTTTACGAATTTCGTGCCGATACAATCGCGTTAATTTGGCGTGATCCGTATCCATTAAAGAAAAACCACATGAACTTGTCGTGCGTCATGTTGACGCACGATAAGTTCGCAATCAATAAGGTGCTATTTTCAATCGCGATTCCTTCAGATTTCAATTGTGCGCTCGTGTGCGCGCAATAAGCGCAGTGAGTAACGCGAAGTAGCTTAAGTTTGTAGAGTTTTCAACGTCACTTGAATGCACGGCGATTACTAATCCTTGACAACGACGAAGCGACAAGGCAAGCGATAATGACTTTAGGAAGATTCGCAAAGGATAAGAAGCAAAGGTGATGAATACACGTCGGGGGAAATTAATAACGCCGTCGTACGCCGTGACGTATCGGACCGACGTTCCGCACGGTTGCACCGAGTTAGCTTTAATTAACCCTTTGTGGCGCGTGTCGTCAGCAATTACAGTGTAATTTCTCGGCATCGTGAATGGGGTGGAGGCACATAGGTAAACGCTCGGGATTTCTCGCTCGTATTTTCTCCCGCGCACACTAAGATACTTGAGAAAATTCGGCAGTTATAAAGTTTATTTCTATGAAACACGTATATTTTTGTGACACGAGGTACACTTCTGTAAAATAAACTTTCATCCAACAAATAAATTCCCAACCAATTTTTTCGCAGTGTTATTTCGGCCGATGTCGAGTCGCTTTCTCGTTGCAATCACGCGACGATCCCTACGAGGTTTCCACATCGACTCTGAATCGCGACGCTAAAAAAAAAAACACTTGAATTCACTTGTGGAATATAAAGTTTATTTCCGCGAAATAAGGTATATTTCTTTGTGAAAGATGAAGTTCATATCTATGAAATACAGTTTATTTCCAGTAAGAAATCTGTCTCATGGTTCTGAACAGGAACAGGTTAATCCTAATCGGTTATCTGGTTTATGTAATGTGATGTTTTCGGATTCTAATTATTAATAATCCAGACAGACTGTCATGATTGTCATGATGTGAGACAGTCGATGATCGAAATTTTACATAATTCTTTTAATTATATTTATACTTAATTTAATTATACTGTACTTTGAATATATATATACTCTGTATTGAATTATTTATTAAATTTGTACCATACAACACAATACAATTTACGTACAATTTACGTATTAGTCTGTTGAAGTTTAAGCAAATTTTGATAATTTTTTTTCGTATTTCTATTTTATCATTTTATGTGGTAAATATGACTGCAATCTGATTAGTCATAAAGGACTCAACGAATTTCGTGATTTAGAATGCTTAAAACTGCTGTAAGATTTGCGTACATCAATCGGGAAAGGTCCTAATTATTAACAATTTTCATTATTAATAAAGTCCTGATACTACGCTGCGTTACACGACTTATCAGGGTCTGATTGTATCACCTTACACAAAACAGATTAGGATCAAACTAATTCGAATTGATCAAAACCATGGGATCAGAACTTCTACAGTTGAATATCTCTGTCGAAATAAATTTTATTCCCACAAATAAATTTCTAAGTATTTTTGTTTTTAATATGGAAAACGAAATTACGTAAATGACATGAATGCGTCGTCCGAATAAACGGACGGGCGGACAGACGTACGCGTCGTCGAAGCATGTAGTTTCACTAAAACTATCAATGACGAGTGCGCGACATGCTATATTGTTACCTATCGAGCGCGCTCTTATGTAATTACAAAATTTACGTAACTCAAAATACCGGGAACCGCGTCAATGGCGATTGCAATTCGAAGAAAAGATGAAGAAGAAAAGGACAACGCGGCCATGTCGCGACTCAGTTAATGTCGGTGCACGATTTTTCGAAATTTCGCCCACCCCAAGGACTCACCAAGGATGTTTTGGCGATCGCACTGGCGTCGCTGTAGGATGTGACTTTCACGTAAGGACTGGAGCTTGACATCGGCACGGTTATCATCTTGACGCCTTCCGAATCCTCCCAGTCGCGATAAGCCGGTTAAGCTTTATTTGCTCGACCTCACTGGAATTCACTTACGCATTCTACCGCACTCACTCGGTCGTTCAGGCCGCGTGTTTGTTCTCAACAAGTGGATAACATAATTTTAAATCGTTCGTCCAGGTGTCGTCGACCTCACACACGCGGACGACGCACTTTTCGGGGCCGAGCGTGCTTCTCTCTCCGTTGAGCTTCGTGAGTTGTCGAGCGTGAAATTCACGTAGTGCCTTTCCGTCAGAAACTTTCCTTCGTCGTTTCGACCACTTCCTGTCAAACGTTCTCGACGATGACGCCGATGACGGCGATGACGACTGCTACTGATAGCTACAAGTCCTTTTGAAGCGACATGCTGAATATCAATAAGAGTGCTTTCAAGAACTTGCAAACGGATCTGCACGACAGCGTATAGCCGTGAAAGTTCAATGCCGATAAGACTGAGCGAGGAACTTGCAAAATCGTGCGAGTTTTTGCGCGTCAGGAAGATTTCACTTAATGGTGAGCCAGACGCGCGAGCTAGACTGAGAGAACAAAATAATAAAAAATAATAAAAAATATCTAGAAATTAGTAGAGATATTTATTCCGTGAGTATACTAACAGTCTATTTACTTGAACCTGAACTCCTTCATTTAGAATAAACAATTACTTTCATGAAAAACTGATTTTAAGAAGATGTATATTTTCTTATTTGAAAAATATCTTATATAATCTGGGACAAGTAAATATGCTATCAATGTGTGTGTACCCACCAAATAAATATTTACTATTTTTTAAATATTTTTCTCTATTAGTGTAGGCACAACTCGTTTCTGCAATCGTTCTCTGTTTATATCGACTAGTGCTCAATCTAGTATAATTAATAATGACAAAAATATCAATTTTCTGTACAATCGGAATATTTAATCCAAAGCTGCAATTAACGCCGGAACAATTGACGAGCTCCTCTCATTGGCGCAGAGGTGAAGTCAAAATTCAGGTTTCATCACTGTCACAGTTATTTTCTGGCAGCGTTGCACGGGCGCGTTCGCGACGTCAAGTAACCTGGGCGAGTCTGGTCGCGATCTGACATGCTTGTTCTCCTCGACGGCACTGTGAAATGTTGTTTTCGCCGTTCGCGTTAGACCGCGTTACGTCGGACGTCGCCTTCGCTGACGGCCGGGCAAACATAGACTGACGTATTAGAGCGCGGCAACGCCACGAGACGAATGAACCTCTCTCGATTGGCTCTGCTCGTGTGTGCTGTCAGGTAACGCGGTCCCTGGTTAGCATGCCCAATATTCCTCAAACCTTTTCACATATGTGGAATCAGTGGTGTAGCCAGCAGATGGCTCGGGCGATATCGCAAGCACAGCGGGCCCACCATGGACTTGATTGGCGAAAATATTAAATTCCAGATGTCTGTGCGTTTGAGTGGCAGAGGAAATTAATCCCAGGGTATGCCCGTGAACTTGAATGATGAGGAAAATGGTATTTTTCTCTGCACACTGACTTCTGAAGTAAAATCCCGTCGAGAGACAAATTTGGCGATTTTTTTATAGCGAATACGAAAGATTGACATCTGATAGCTGTATCTCTACATAATGAAGCGTTATTGTATATAATTCTATATGTTTTCTTCTTTTATGTATCTAAAAATATTATTTTAGAGTTGAGCGCCGTTTCTTCGGACCACTATTGTAGCGTTATTATGACCTTATTATGTCATTGTTATCGAACAAAAGATATTCAGATAGGCAAAGAGGTAGTGCAATGATTAAAAAAGGGACCTAAACTCCTGGACAGGAAAGATTCTAATCTTACCCTGGGATATTCTCTTAAATTTCTTCGAAATGATTTTTTATTCTATAGAATGAAAATATTTGCTTGTATTCGCTTATATTTCGTTTCAAATTCCACTTGGAAAATTATATATATTAAAATATTTAATGAAATGAAAATAAAAAAAATCGTATCTTTAAAAAACAAAATTAGTAGGGAAAGGGTTGAAATTTGTCAATTTCCCAACAATGATCGATCGATTGTACGCCATAATTTCCCAAGAACGTTAGACTCATTTGTTCGGCAAATACCAGTTTCATTCTTCACTGTTACCTTGCGGATCCTAGATACGTGCCTAGCTTAACTCGAGAAACCGTCATCTGCGCGTTATCATACGTCCTCTCGTTTATGTGGCGACCCGTCGTGATTTACATACCCGTATTATCACAGCGATATTTCTTTCGTAAGCGGAGATGAGGCGACGAGAAACGGCATAGCGTGCTCTGTCGTGCTAAGTGCAAACCGTGCATAATCGATATGCGTGTTCGCCCGATCGTGAACGGCGCGGCTTTGCCACTCGAGCGGTTGTGTGTCCGGAATGAAATAAGAATATCAACGCCCGCCAGTGAACCATGAAAGGTCCTTTCGTTTCTTTTTCTTGTAATTGCGTAAGTCGCACTCGCGGTAACTGCTGTTACGCCTGGCGAAGGACATGTAGCGCGTCATTTTTAGTGACTTGTGCGATGTTAATGAACGGTGTGCAACGGATTGAAATGATATATACTCGCTTGTCCGTTTATATGCGACATTAGATAATGCTGAGGAAAATTCAAAGCGGCCTCTCTGAAGGTTCTTATCTTACACAGAGAAAGAAATTTGGTTGGATTAAACAAATTCATGGTAAAATATGAACGAACCCGAAATTCCGGTTGAAGTTAGCAAAATTATGTTCAAGTCAACGAGATTTCTGGTAACTTTAACCGGAATTTTCTGGTTTGTTCACATTTCATCAGAAATGGATTGATCGAAACTTTTTCTTTCTGCGTAGATATCCTTAATTTTTACACGGTTCCTAACTAAAATCGGAATGTAGAATTTCTTTAACGTGTTTATCTCTCGTTACTTTCTAATCCTCTAATCGTAATACTGAATATTGTTTAGTGTTTATTTCGCGTTATTTTCTAAACTTTACATTATTAAATATTATAATTTTTCAGAGAAAAGGCAGAAAGAAAGTTATAGCAGCTATTGCATTGTTGTTTCGATTATTGACGATATCTTTTTGTAAATGCTATCTATACTATTGTTTGCTTTTCTTTTTCTTTGTCTTTTGTGACCTATTAATTATTACGACCTATTATCATTATCATCTTTGTTAATACATTTTTTCTTCACTTTCATGTTTCAGCTAACAATGAATGTATTTCTTATATATTTTATCTCTCTCTCTCTCTCTGGTTCTATTTTCAACATCTTGAAAAATATATCTTGAAAAATAAAATATATCTTGAAGCGCATTCTTTCATATCATAATATACAAAAAATGAATCATATTTCCGACGGCCATCACCGCGTGTATACAACACACGAGATGACCGGTCACGAGACGGAAAAATGCGAAACCGCCGGAGGGATTAATAGTAATAGCTCACGGAAAAAGCAAGTAAAAATAACGTTCTTGGAAAATTCCAAGACTATATTCTGCTTCACGTCACATGCGTCGCTAGTAAAAACCGGCAACGAAGCAAATATCGACGGTAACAGTGAATAGGCTACGCCTTCTATATTGAATCAGTACATCCATTAAAGATTGATTAACATCGCGCATGTATCAGGCATGGATAATAATATACGAAGAGCCCGAATACTATAACGACATAGTATACTTCCGTTCAAGCTGATTTTTTTTGTGTTGACTCAAATTTATCTATCCAAAAGTCGCCTGCTCCTTGACAAAATCGAAGTTGCACGGCCTCAATCACTGCTCCGCGAAAATTCTAGTTCAATCGAAAAATTTTTATGAATAAAATTGTCAATGTAAAAATACAATACCCGAAGTAATACAATTGTATAATAAAAAACACGAGAAGTTGCGCGGTAAACGTAACACTGAACAGTCTTGCAATAGTTAACAAATGCATTTGATCGAGCGCTTTAATGCAATATTTGGTAATTAAATATGGTAATATACAGAGATAAAAAAATTTATTTGTGGAATGTAAAGTTTATTCACAGAAATAAACTTTATATCCCACAAATAAGTTCTTCAGTGTTTTTTTTCAGTGTAGCAGTGTTTTTTGCACAATGTAGTTACACCCTCTGTAGTAATAACTACAAAATGATTGGCGAAACAAATTCTACATTTAGTTGGAGAAATTTGGTTTGGTAAATAATACCAAATAATTTGTTCAAAATTACTAATCAGTTTGACTATTACCAAAGTGTTTGGTATATTTATCACATAAGATATATATTTATCACATAGGAAGTATTACTAAACAATATAATTTTATTTTACAAATTGCTTCGAAATTCACTTATTCTTCGTACCACATAAATTGGTAATAGTCACCAAGTGTTAGCAACAAACATCAAGTTTTGGCAACAGATGCCAAGTCTTGCTAAGATTATTTTTGCCAATAATTATTTGTTTATATTCACCTATATATTTAGTTGAAAGCATCTAGCACGGTTATTCAGAATTGATGGTTGTTGCTAAGAAGCGCACGATTATTATTCGCGTTTTGCGCGCAAGTTATGTTATGCGAAACAAGCCGGCGTCGTGGATCATTCTCATTCTGCAGATACTTGACGTGCATATTTCGCGCGGAAATGCAACGCGGGAATGCGAAATAAGTCAATCACCGTTAAGTCGGGCGCATATTTGTTTCCGCGTTGACGCAGCGGATCTAATTTTGTTATGTGTAAGAGGGGACACGCGCTATACAGCACGTGTTTATTATATCGTGATACGCTCGCGCTATCGCACAGACACTGACTCACGACGAGAGACAAACGGCGGGGGGCGTCTCGTACAAATTCGATCATAAATGATTATTGTTCACAATATGTGAGACATCGCACCGATTGCGACACTCGCAGGAGTCATGTTCTCAAAACGATCGCGATATCAGATAAGATTAATCTATATTTTATCCCCTTTCCCGAAAGCGTAGGAAACGCGTTTATCCGCCGCAACAACGCGATCGATTAACCTTCCCATTTTTTTTTACTCATCGGCTTTACGTAACACAACCTCGTGCCACGATGTGTTCCTTTTTCTCCTCCCTTTTTTCTCTTTCTGCCGTCATTCCTGTCACAGGGACGAACGTGCAATTTGGAATGCACTCCGTGCGATTTCGTTTCGGGGAAACTCCAAAGCGCTTACAGAGCGCTCGTGAGCACCATGGTTGGGAGATTTAAAAGAATACGCGATACGTGTGCTAATGCAATGCGGCGCGGGCCGGACTGCACGTGTGGAATGTATAAACTAACATTTTATATTTTATCCCGCGGCGGATAAACAATGGAAACTGACGGTTTATTTTTATTGTTCGCCTGCTTAGGCTGTTTATAACTCGTTTAAATACTGTACGCACAGCACCGGCGTTGTTTACACGCAAAAGAAGCCCAACACACGCGCGGACATTTACTATCGATTCAGCTGATCTCTCTCGCGACAGGTAACAGCGCCAAAAGGTAAAATAAATACAATAACTACGACGGACCTGCGTTGCGTAACCCGGCGGCCGAATGTTTATTACACGTAAACAGCTGCGTGACTAATAAAATTGCAAATAGGCGTGTATAAGCTTCACGTTCATGGACGGCATACTCCGACACAAATAAAAAAAAATGATGAAATTTGTAAATATAAGACGCGCGAATAACGGTGAATGTAGTAATCAATTCGCGACTTGATTTCTCTTCCCGATATCAAGGATTTCAATACTTTTTGTGGAGATCCGTAATCTTCGATATAGGATTGATTTTTCCAATCTCTTGGTGAGTCAACTAACAATTAAATCATATGTCTTTGTCTAATTTGAAAGAACAACGAAGACAAAGATTCAATTGTTAGTTGATTTATCAAGCTGAAAAAATCGGTCCATAAAGTCGTGATATCTCCCAAAGAGATTCATAATGTCAATTACTTTTCGTTAGAAATAATTTCCGGACGGGTTAAACAATGGGTTTTAATAAAAATTTTAATATTTTTTGGATAGAAACACACACACATAGCAATCCGTAATCTTGTGTATACAGAGTTGTGACAATTACCAGAGAGATTCTTAACACCAATTATTTGAAGATAACCTAAGAACGAATTAAATTTCTCAAAGTGATAAAGAACAATTCCCTCGTCTCTTGCTTCTTTCTTTTTCTAAAAAAGTTTTTTTTCCAAATTTTCTTTCTTCCCTTTTCTAAGTCTCTTTGCGATATGCAGCGAAATATAATTCCAAGTCGCGTTGGTTTATATATAAAGTTCGCGCGCAGATCGCGGGCCAAAGATCAGATGGTCGCGTTTTAGCGCTAAAAGTGACGTACGAGCAGGCGGCCAGGTTTATTCTCTCGGCGCGTTCGGCGGATCGCGCAAAGGAGTGCCACTCACCGAAGGTGCACTTTTTTCTCGCTCCTTCTCACGCTGCTTATCCAAAAATCTTCAGCAGCAGTAGCAACAGCGGCCTAAAAGTCGCGCGCTACTGTTCTCTCGATCGACTTTCACTACGCGAATTCGCGTGGCGAGGCGGGACGGGACGAAACACGCGAGGCATCCGATTTAAAGATCGCGGTCGGTCGCTCGCAACGATGTTCACGCGGCGCAACACCGAGAGCGAGAAAAAGATATACGATTTCGCGGATTACCCCGATGCAAATCGCGCGACAACAGCTAATGATCCGCGGACGATAGTCCTGGCGATCGTTAAGGACAAGCTTAATAATAGTCGCGGCGTGCCGACGATATATCACACCTAGATGCACCACGATTGGCTGCCTAGCGAGCGGCGATTTCTCGGCGATTGGCCACTTTGTACGTATATCGTGATCGCCAGGACCGCCGCGCATAGAGAATGCACGCGCCGAGAGGAGCCGCGACAATTACGATTACGCGTGAGAACCTCGCAAAAAGTCGCACCACGTACGACCAATGTGCGACGTGACCGGCAACGATTTCTAGTAGCTGAGCAAAAAAAATGAATAGCATTTGGTGATAACAAGTGTATTGTCAAAGTGTACATAAATGTGTGAAAATATCGTTGCAAATTTATAAATTTTCTCTTTCGACATATGATATTAATTTTCTCATTATAATTGACATCATAAAGGATATAGCGGTTCTGTATTTCATTAGAATAGTTGGATGTAATAATCTTCTTCCGTTGGAATTTTAATAGCTAGGGAAAGTAAATGCTATCTGATGATAACAAGTGTATCGTAAAAAAAATACATAAACATGTGAAAATATCATTGCACTCTCTATATGTAAATTTCTTGGAGTGAAATTTTACTTGGAGAGGAAAGACTGGTCATCGAGTCACTCGAATTCAAGTGATCTTTCAAACATATAGAGTGAATTTTGCAGTCTGAATTGTCGAGTGAACATTTCCAATCGAAATTGTGGAGAGTAATCTAATGCGATCCATTGTCTTAGAACAATCGATCGAAATATTCACCCATATGGAGTCAGATCCACTCTAAGCTTAAGTGAAACATTCATTATGGCTTTGAGTGATAACATTGTTATTTTTCATTCGTTTTGAATGAGATTTCACTCTAAGAAATTTGAAGAGCAAGCTACATAAATTTTGTGTGTGTTATGTATGTATGTATATATAATACTTTTATCATAAAGAGCAACTGATGTCTTTTGTTAAAAAAATTAAATAATCTTTCTTCCTTAGAATTCTAATAGATAAGGAAGATAAATGCTATTTTATGATAACAGTGCCGAGATGAATGAAACTATTATCTATAAATACCTTTGTTTATCAATTTATTTGTATAATTTCCTTTCTTCGTCTATATTAATTTTTATTGATTCCAACGAAAATTATTATCCTTTTTAATATTCTAAAAAGTAAAAAAACGACAGATGACAGCTGTCTTCTTTATGATATCAATTATTATTGAAAATTAATATCATACAATCGAAAAGAAATTTGTAAACATGCAATAGCTTCACTTATTTATCTACATCTTTGTGACATAGTTATAATAAAATAGCATTTATAATATCAGAAACCGAACAGTTGATCTGTCTCGTTCGTTCGAATTTTAAGACGAAATACTCTTTTTTTGGTCGAACATCAAAATCGGACACGTGCGATTTCTGCCCGTGTTTTTCACGTACTTTCAGCATATTCTGATACACCGAAATCATTCGCACGTACGAAAGTATGATATACTGTTGCGTACGTGAGAACCTTGTTTACGCGGAGTGTCCTCACGCGTCCACAATTCTCAGCCGCGCCAAGTCACGAGAAGCCGCCTAATTCGTAGGAGATCCTTCGCGACATCGTGATAACGAGCTGCTATGCTAATTGCGATTTCAAACTGCGAAGCCGCGATCGCGACATAATCGCGATAGCGATCGTCGGTTGTGGAAAAACATTGCTTCCTGTTTACGGTGCACGCCAGGTGTGCGACGCCGCGATTATCGAACAGCGACCGACGATTCCCGTCTGCGCGGCGCATACGTGTGAAAACATAACCTAATTTCACGGAAACGGCGAGCGTCGTCGTAAACAGCGGAGCGCAATGCACGGCGAACGGGAAGGATCATCTGTGGATTCTTATAAAAGATCCTTACCTTCTCGCACGAGTCAGGATCGTGCCGATAAGTCCACACCGAATGATCCGTTTTGCGTTCGTAGGAGTCCGCTCGAAGAGGAGAAGGAGGAAGAGGAGGACGACGACTATCGAGAAGACCAGGACGCGGTCTTCCTCAGCAACCTCGTCCTTATTCACGTCTTCGTCTCGATGTCAACGTTCGTTCTCCTCCACGTCGCCCGCCGCATCTCATCGGCCGACTTACGCGCGGTGCATCGGTACATCGGTCAACGGATGCGCGGGTTCTCGGGGTATCGCACGCGAGAAACTGGGACTAATGCGCGCGCGCGGCGCACGTACGTGCGTACATATGTCACCTACGTAACACCGTCTGTCACTAGCAAAACTGGCTGTCGCGATCGTTACGGCGGCCGACTTGCTTTTGTTTACCCGCGGCCTCCTGTCCCCTGTGGCGTCGAAGAGACGATTGGAATGGGAAAGAGTGTGTGTGCAGGAAAGAGGGGGAAGGTGGGAGAAGTCCTTTCGTAAGAGAGATGTTCGGGACACAACAGGTGGATGTCTTGAGCCTTTAGGTCCGATCTACAATAAAAGTTTGCCCGTCTACATTACATGGAGTAAGCCTGAATTAAGTAGTAAGAGCTGGAGTAAGGGAATAAGTGAAATAAATTATTTCCATTCCGTCTTACTCCTACTCCTTACTCCATCTATTGTAGATCGGGCCTTATAATTTGCGGCCAGAGACAAGCAAGACGTTAGGTCTGTTCCTTTTCGAAGAACTTCTTGAAGCGGTGTACACTGGTGTGACGAATAAAGTGAAACAAAATATATTTGTTTCGTTCTAACTTATTGCACTGGTATACACCGGTTCTAGATACCTATTATGGACTTCTTCGGAATCAATTCCGATTGGAAACATTCAGTTATTTCCTAGATTTCTATTGTCTTTTCTAGAAGAAACGGAATTATTCCGATCGGAATTGATTTCGAAGAAGTCCTTAATAGGTACCCAGGAAATTCTTCGATAAAGAACAGATCCTCTATTACTGTTTTCGGAAATACACCCATAGATCGCTACGCAATTAAATACGGTAAAAGTACCTTAAAAAATATCGGACCCATGTCCGAATATTTCGTCCAGTTCGTCTTAATTTCTGAGATATTAATTATTGAAGTTGAATCACGGAGTTCGCAAAATGGTTTGAATCTTGGCTAAGTGATTGGTTGTAGAAGGTTCGAGTCTTGGGTGGAGGCGCTGTTTTTAGTTCCGCAGTCTTCATTACGAGCCGCCACCATACAAAGTGACTATCGAGGTAATGATGACGATGTGATACTAAGTTAAGTTTATTAAAATTAAAATAATATAAAAATAAAATTAAACTAAATTAAATTAAATTAAGTTATGTTAGGTTAAGTAAAGTTAAGTAATTCCTTTGTAGCGCTAATAAATTAACCATAAGAACTGCGTTAGAAAATAAGAAATGTGATATGTAACACAGGGTTGTATAGGCCTAGTCCCTAAAACCCAATACAATTTATGTACTCCTTTTATTCAATTAAAAAAAAAAAACGAGGTAATGATGGATTTAACTAGTGATAGAACTGAAGTAGTGATAGTTTCAATAATAGATAAAAGGTCGATTCCCATATAGCACAAATCTCTAAAAGATTTCTTAAAGAGTTCCAAAAGAGTTCCCAAGTCCTCCAGAACACTTTTAGAATTCTTTAAGAAGTCTTTTAGAGATTTGTGCTATATGGGTTGTTTCAACTTTTTAGTAAACTACCTGGGCCCCTATTCTTGAAATAGTTGCGTATACGTAAGTTTTACTGCGCAGATTTAATCATACTATAAAATAGCTGCGCAATGAAAATTACATATACGCAAAAATTTTAAGAATAGGGGCCCTGAGGCATTTTTTTGTTTGGTGACCACGATACCGTTTGGTTGGTTGGTTTAGTCCACTTAATGCTCGCAATGCCTCGAGCAACAAAGATAGAATGGTTGCGTTCAGCAGAGAAAACTGCTTTGCAACTGTTGTAAAATTCATGAATCTGATTGGAGTATGCTCTTAATTTTGGTTAAATCCAAGAGCAGGTACCAATCAGATTCACGAATTTTACACAGTTGCACTTTCTTTGCTGAACGCAGCCTGACGCTCGCGGCGTTGCGAGCGTTAAGTGGACCAAACTAACCAACCAACCGTACCGTAGTTATGAAACGAAAAACGCCTCTGACAGATAAATCATATGTTTGTTTTCGTTTGTTTTTTTTCAAATTGGACAGAGATAAACACATGATTTAATCGTTTGATAACTTACCAAAAGGTTAGACCAATCGGTCCTAAGGGGCCGATTCTATAACATTTAATGATGTCGTTATGTATCGCTGCGCAGTTATTTCATAATACAAAAAATCTGCGCATTATACGTAACGATATCGTTAAAAGTTATAGAATATACCTCTAATGGAGCCTGCATACAGGACGCGGTAATGCTTGCCGCGCGGCAAAAGTTCGCGCGACAGCCAATCAATATGCTGCTTTCCGTAATAACCTTCTAACTTTTACGGAAAAACAACATATTGATTGGCTGCCGCGCAGACTTCCGCCGCGCGGCAAGCATTACCCCGTCCTGTGTGCAGAAGCCATAAGCGTTGCTTCTATTTCTCAAATAGTATGATCCAAAGATTGCCCTTATAGAAATATCATACTAAGAATCATTGATAATTATTTATTTTCAGTATTAAAAATACTGGATAATAAGTAATTATCAATGATTCTTAGTATGATATTTCTATAAGGGTGATCAAAAGCGTTTTTCCTTTATGTATAAAAACTTCGACAAAATTCAACAGGCTGCAATTTCAATAAAAATAACAATAGTGAAACATTTTTGAAGTTTCTATTTTTTCACAAATGTTAAATGCGTAACGTTACTGTTGTTTATTGTTAAAATTTAAATCGAGTTAAATAAAACATTAACTGTTCAATTTTTAAAATCTCATCTTTTAGTTGGCTTTACACTAAAAATTAATTTTTATCAAAGATGGAGTAAATATATTTTAAAGAGAAGACTAAATATTTTGTCGTACATTGGTTCGTTCGTATACTGTAAGTGATCAAAGTGATAAAGTTAAAATGCCATTTTTGTTTCAACATTAAATAATTCAATGAAAAAAATTGTTATGTGTGAATAAGTAAATTAAAGGGAAAAATTCATACTTTCAACTAATTTAAATTTCTTATCTTTGACATTTTGCTTACAGAGTGAACTCAATAAACTTTATAAAAAATTGTAACACTTGACACACACACACAGATCTTGATTTATATTCATGTGTGTGTGTGTAATTTTGTAAATACTAATTAAATCTTATATTCGACAATATATATGAAAACAAAAGATATTAAACTGTAAAATGTCTCTTGAACCATCTTATTATCTTTATTATTTTTAGCTTTATTAGTTATAGCTTATAACTGTTTCATACAAATAAATTATATATTTACAGAAAAAAAAAGATCGACAGATTGTCTTAATGTCTGTTTTATTATTTTGTTATACAAGCAGCTTATTTTAATTCGATTTTTACCTTGTTATACAAGCATTTTGGACATGTATGGACCATCAAGTTCATAACCTAATTTTCGATAATAATTACGAGTGCCTACACCTGAAAGAAGAAATGGTTTGTTTCTTAAGAAATAAATTGCTAATTCAATTAATTAGTGATACTTATTAATAAGAATTAATTTTTACATATGAAGATTTTGATATTAAAGATGGATAACTGTTTCATACAAATAAATTATATATTTACAGAAAAAAAAAGATCGACAGATTGTCTTAATGTCTGTTTTATTATTTTGTTATACAAGCAGCTTATTTTAATTCGATTTTTACCTTGTTATACAAGCATTTTGGACATGTATGGACCATCAAGTTCATAACCTAATTTTCGATAATAATTACGAGTGCCTACACCTGAAAGAAGAAATGGTTTGTTTCTTAAGAAATAAATTGCTAATTCAATTAATTAGTGATACTTATTAATAAGAATTAATTTTTACATATGAAGATTTTGATATTAAAGATGGATAACTGTTTCATACAAATAAATTATATATTTACAGAAAAAAAAAGATCGACAGATTGTCTTAATGTCTGTTTTATTATTTTGTTATACAAGCAGCTTATTTTAATTCGATTTTTACCTTGTTATACAAGCATTTTGGACATGTATGGACCATCAAGTTCATAACCTAATTTTCGATAATAATTACGAGTGCCTACACCTGAAAGAAGAAATGGTTTGTTTCTTAAGAAATAAATTGCTAATTCAATTAATTAGTGATACTTATTAATAAGAATTAATTTTTACATATGAAGATTTTGATATTAAAGATGGAAGAGCTATGTTTATATTTTTATCTACAACATACCTGAAATGACAGAAATCTTGTGAGATTCATGTTCCTCTTTAGCAATTCTTTCAGCCTCTTGCATAAGCAAAGTCCCAAAACCTTGATGTTGGAATTTTGTAGGATCCCGAGCGCTCACAGGCACAACACTGCCATAAACATGAAGCTCTCTTACTATAGAAGTTTTTTCCTTTAATTCTGATCTATAAGACAAATTAATTATAATTTTTCTTTCTGAGTGTGTCATAAGATTTTTCTATATATATAACTTCTAAGATATATAAAAATTATACCTAAACGTTCCTTTAGAACACTTTCTCAGCCTGAGTAAACCAATCAGAATATCTTGCATAGGATCTTCGTACGATAAAAATGTTTCCCACCCGTTACTAGCCACATAATCACGTCTTATAAGCTCAACTTCATATGGTTTCACTTTATGATGTATTTCTTGTATTCCGACCTCGCGTGTCCTAACGTCACGACAATCTGTACCCAGATCCTTCATTCTGGCTAAAGCTAATTCGCGAAGATTCCCATGTTCTACACCAGAACTATTTCACAGAAAAAAAGTAAGATTTATGTAATCTTTTTTAAATCTCATTAATCAAAGCTTTCTTATTACATTACAATATGGATTAAAGTTTCTAGATTATTATTAAGTAACAAATTTTCTTACATTACAATATAAATCAAAGTTTATGTATAGTTCAATAATTCTTAAATATCTTCTTCTTTCATTCTGAAATTCTACTATCTTTGAATTTGATATATTTACCTAACCAATGGCATAGGTATATCGCGTTGCACGCGATAGACGCGAGTCCACGGTGGTATCAGAGCCAGAATACGAGCTATAAGATCAACAAGCACGCTAGGTGCGTAACTTTTATATCTGCCGGTTTTCCACAACTCGTACAAGCCAGTACCACGTATAACCAGTGTCGGATAAATTTTTAATCCGTCCGCTCGAAATGCGGGGTTTTCGAAAAATTCCTGAAACATATGTCGATGTAGACATTAATAAGAAATATAATTATGCAAATTTAATATTTTTATTCACAACTTAAAGACATTACTTACGATAAACTGACAAATGTCTCGTTCAATGTCAACATTTGGCAAATCTGGCATCATGTGAGCTATCACTTTAAACCCAGCATCCTTTGCTAGTTGAAAACTTTCACACACAGCACGTACTGTGTGCCCTCTGTTGGTATCACGTGCTATATCCTCATATACAGACTGTACACCAATTTCCAAACGTGTACATCTGTTTGATTTTAGATTTATTTGATTATAAATATCTCTAATTCCGATTATTTGACTATAAATATCTGAGATACAAAAATGGAAGTACACATACCCATAACGTAACATATCTGAAAGGTGTTTCTTGAGACAGTAATCAGGCCGAGTTTCTATAGTAATACCAATACATTTTGTGCGGCTACGTTCAGAAAACTTGACTGCTTCATCAACGTTACTGCTTACATGGCCAGACAATGCATCATGTAAATTTCGTATGAAATAATCCCTGTAATCCTCTGGCAAGGACATGAAAGTACCTCCCATGACAATAAACTCAACTTTGTCAACACTGTGTCCCAACTGTTTCAACTAAAAGTACAATACAAAGGATTACATAAAATATACATTATTATAAATATTATAGATATTAATGAAGATAATGTCTTTAAGCAGACATTAAGAACAAATTGAAAATTATTTAGTACTTGTGAAATGCTAAACCAACTTGTTCAACACGATGTCTAGTTTGCAAGAAAGGATCATATCTTGCACGTATTGCTCTCATTGATGTAGGCTCATATCCAGTATAAGATTGTGTCGAGTATTCAAAATCAGAATCTGGTCCTCCAGGGCAATACACACAGATATTTCCTGTCATATTAATATGTGGACATCTGTGAGGTTTGCACATTACTGCTACAACAGCGATCTATAATGGTCAGATTATTTTATCTTTGTCCTATGCTGCAATTACTTGTCAATAAATAATAATATAAATAATACTAACTCCGCTAGCTGTCCTCACAGGTTTAGCTTTCAACTTTGGTATAAGTATATGCTTAGCATTACTAGGTACTGCTGCTATAATATCAACTAATCTAGGAGAGGAATCCAAGCCATACTTTGAAGCTATTCGTGTTTTCAATTTGTTCAGATCAACATCTCGATTTTCATCATGGGCCTTTAATAACTCTTGTATAATCTCTCCAATTGTTATTAACATAAGCTCTTCCTTACTCTGCTCAGAAACTGAAAGTGCAAAGGAGATATATATATATAATATAAAACAAAGTTAAGAAAACAAATGAATGTTTATATATATATAATATAAAACAAAGTTAAGAAAACAAATGAATGTTTAAATAAATTTTTATGTAGCTTAGAGTTAATAAGTATTATACGTACGAACACGTTTCTTCACCATGATTGTAAACAAATCTAAACGTTGAAGATAAACACACACACTTTAATTACTTTTTATTATATATTAGAATTTTATTTTATCAAAATGCTTGTATGTTGCACAATATTTCAATACTTTGCGAATTCTTTAATTGCAATTTATTCTAACTTCTATATAAATGGTCTGTTTTTTTCAGCTGCACTGCTGACAGGGGATACAAACTCGCTCTTGTAAAAATTGGATTCCGTTTTTAGTGGCGTCCTCTGAAATTGTCTCCGGATGTAGGCGAACTAAACGGGTGACGTCATGCGAAGTGGGGATACGCGGCAATGAATATGAACTGGCGCGCATAGGCAGACGTTCTTGAAACGTTTTAGCGAGCAGTAGCGAGCAACTGCGAGCAACAGCGAGCAACAGCGGGCAACAGCGGGCAACAGCGAGCACTAATATAAAGCAATAAATATATATATTATCTTATTACTAATCATTGTAGAGTAGTAATAGTGTAGTAATAGTACTAAAACAATTAGCTAAATCGTAGAAGTAGCAACTACAATACCTATACAATAGCATACAACACATACACACACATCCACACATATCACTCATACACAACTGTATACGTGCCATACGTGCATAAGTTGCTTGTTATTGCTCTCTATAACGTCTGCTGTGCGTGCCATTCATACTTCCATTGGCGCGCATCCCCACTCCGCGTGACGTCACCCGTTTAGTTCGGCCACTTCCGGAGACAATCTCAGAGGGCGGTAGGTGTAGGTAGTGCCACTTACCAGACGGGAGTTATTACCCCCTGACTGCTGAACTGGTGCAATAAGTTAAAGTGAGACAAGTATATGTTTTCTTACTCTAACTTATTGCACCAGTTCAGAAGTGCAGCTGAAAAGAACAGACCAAAAGATACATTTGCAATACAGTATAAAGCCAGCGGCACACGATGCTTGTTTTCATGTTGAATTGCTTGCTGGATGGAAATACTCTGTTCTGATTGGTGCATTTCTGAAGACGGACCAATCAGAATAGAGTATTTCCATCCAGCAAGCAATCCAGCACGAAAACAAGCATCATGTGCCGCTGGCTTTATACTGTATTGCAAATGTATCTTTTGGTCTATTCTTTTTAGCTGCACTGCTGAACTGGTGCAATAAGTTAAAGTGAGAAAACATATTAACAACATATTTATAAATTTAATAGCTCATTTTAATGAGCAAGATATTTTATCATAGAGTGCAATTAATTCAAAGTATTATATTAAAATATATTGACACGTTTTTTTTATATTAGAAAAGCAACTAATATTATAAATAAAAGACATTATTTTAATAAATTGATTTTATTTGCAGGACAGTAAAATTATAAACAGTATTTTTTCTACTTTTGTGTTCCTTTTACCATATAAAACTAATATGTAGTACGTTGAAGTGACGATAGATGGCAGCACTAATGACGCCAAGTAAGATGGCTGAAGGCTGAATCCCCTTCCCCACCTCGGCTTCACTTTCCTCGCCCACAAACTAAGCTTACTTACCGTCCTTTAAGTCCGTGGTCCTAATATTGGCCTGGTTTACATCGTCAAAACGTTAGTATCCAGCAAACAAGATGACGTCATTTGACGTCATCTTGTTTGCTGGGTACGCGTATTAAATTTGATGCGCACCAATGCTTTAATGTGGGTGCGTTTATATCGAACGTACTAAAGGAAAAATATAATACGAATTTAATTCATGTCGTTTACCTCCTAGTGGTGATATTTGGAATTGCAATTTGCTTGAGATAGATTCGATCGACAGGAGGAATGCATAATTCTAAAAATGTGCTTCTAAAAATCTTCTTCTTTTCAATTTAATCCTTTTTTACAAGACATTTTACTGTAATATAATTTGAGAAAAACCTACGATTACCGATAACATCGGTTTTAATTAGGTTAGGTTCCCTTCAACATTCGTTTTATATGTTTACATTGTCATTTGTATCATTTGATACGCGTATTAGTTTAGTACGATACTCTTACTTGATATGCTCGCACCAAATTGGTCCGTCAGTGGTTTGGTTTACATCGTGCACTTGATACGCGTACTAATTAGTAATTTTCTATTAAATAATCTTAATATCGACGATATATACAAACAACGGTACGTTAAACTGGTATAATTCTCATCAACAAAATGTATTGTATTGATTGAATGCGTCGTCGTTGATATGCATTGTCGATATTAAGATTATCTAATAGAAAGTTACTATTTAGTACGCTTATCAAGTGCACGATATAAACCAGGCCACTGAGGGTGCTGTTACATGAAGCGCGGAAACGCGGAAATGCGGAAGACAAAATCTTACTAGATTCGCTACCCATTCCGCGTATATAATTAATAATATAATTGAGAACACTAAATAATAAATAATAAGGTAAGTTCGTCATGCTAATGATTCTTAATTTTGACAATATAGGGAGCTCCTAATTTCGTTTTGTCTAAACTGTTTTACAATCCACATTTTTATAGAAATAAAGTATTTCAAACATAAACAGCACTTCACAATCGGTGGTAGACAAACGTAAGACGTTATCGCGAGCTTCGCTCGCAGCCGCTAAACTAAAAAGCTTCTAACAGAACAGTTAATTCAAGCAGTTTCATCCGACCCTCTGATTGGACGATCGTAAAAAATTAATCGAATTCGTGGATGCGCTGCAATATCAAGGGAGCGGTTACGTGATGCAATTCCGTCTCGGCCGATCCGACGACCTTATGGAAAATCGAGTAGATCGCGCATAAGTGTGCGTGCGTGTCCGTGTGAATCTCGCTATATTTCAGGCCGGCGGCTCTACGGTGTTTTAATCGTTCCTCGCATATCGAACAATTAAATCGGTTACGGAGTGAAGCTACCGCGAAATGAGAATTCTGATTCGCATCGCGATTATCGCGCGACTCGTTATTGCGTGTTCACACTCTTCGCGAAGAAACACAACGATACAGTCAGTTTCACATAATCATGGAGTTTCAGTTAATTGACAATAAGCGAAGTCAGAATGAGTAGCTGGCTGATATGTGCTATTTTTTCGAGACACTGCTTGTTGCATTTGTCCAAGAGATGTCAGTTTAAACGTTGAAATTAATTTTCACGCGGGAATGATCTGGGCCCTTATTCTTGAAACAGTTGCGTATACGTAAGTTTTACGCAGTTTAATCATACCATAAAATAGCTGCGCAATGAAAATTACATATATGCAAAAATTTTAAAAATATGGGTCCTGCTCGTTAAGTTAGATTATCTCGCAATTAAAACATTACAATCGATATATGATCAATACATCAACACAATCGATGTCAGATATCGATATATTTTTCGCATCTCTAAAGAATCTATCTAGACAAACTCGTACAATGCATAAGAAAATCAATCGATCATAATCCATACAGCAAACAGATGTCTTTTATATTAGATATAGGATCGAACATAACTTTGTAATATCTGGTGATAGACTAACCTGAAAAGTTAACCGCGGCATAATTATATATCGATTCTGCCTCATTTGAAGTTAACGTGGATAATTTGGTTGTAGACTGCGTCCAGTTTTCTGAATCGTAACATGGATAAGAGAGTAAAAGCGTGAGACACGTCGACAGAGAAATTTGAGAAAAAGAGAGAGAATGAAAAAATCGACATATGACCAACCTAGAGAGCTTCCGTCGTAGCACTCGTTTATCCGGAGGTAAAAAGGAGAAGAAAGCCGATACGAGGGTTACGGCTGGAGAAGAGAGAGATAGGGGTGGACTCCTTTTCTTAAGACGGAAAGTTGGCGGTTTTTCCCGCCTTCGATCGGGGAAACGCGACTGCTATCAGCTATCGGTGTTATTAAGGCCTCGACTCGATTTCCATGCATCTCATCGCGAAGTTGCCGGTCCAAATGGCATCGGGGATGATAGGATGAGGCTCGTAAGTTAGACGAGACGGGACGGAGAGCTTCAGGGCGCGCGGGGTCGACTAAATCGGGGGACCAGGTCGTGTACCGGGTGAAGTAGTTAAGATATCGAACGGGGTCGAGAAGACGAGGGTGGGTCCGCCACGATTAAGTTCATGCACCCTCCCCCGCGCTTTCGATTTTCTATATGGTCCACGGCAGGCCGTCGAGACGAAATTGCGTCACGTAACGGCACGCTAGGAAATTTGTAATCGATTTTAAATTTAACTTTGTAGAGCAACAGAGAAGAAGAAGAGAAAGAGAGAGAAAGAGAGAAGAGGGGAACGCCTAAGGAACACAGAACATGAAATATGGTGCATGAATGAACAAGCCTGGAGGATATTAAAAATATCTTTCAAATGTTTATTAAAAATATCTTTAAAATGTTTATTAAAAATATCTTTAAGATATTTTTAATATTTTAAAAGATTTTAAAAACAAATTATTAACTTTAGAAATTTTAATTTTGAAAAAGAAACATTAGGATAATTTAGTTTTACGGTAATCATACGGAAAGAATTTTTAGTAAATGTTATTTTCGAATTTTGTAGCTGAGGAATAGATCAACATTCTCTAATAATTTACTATCCTTTCATTTCATATATGCTATTTTTAGAAACTGAAATGTATTATTAAAATACTTACAACGTTTCCAGCGAAATTTTCTATAAACTACTAAAAACATAATAAAAGTCAAGAAAATTTATATGAAAAAAACTATAATATTCTCTCCATGCATACAAACGGACTATATATATGATCTTTCTTTTTTTTAATTAACTTTAAATTCACTGACGAAATAACTGACGTTTTGATGAATTATATAGAGTGAGTCAGTAACTATCGTCATCTGAAATAAAAAACAAAAGTTTGAAGTAAAAAACAAAATTAACCTTCAGATCTTCGAAGTTACTCTAAATCTTTAGAAAAAGATAGTCTTGTAGTGACCTTTCTTCTGAATAGAGCAACTTCGAAGATCTGAAGATCACTTTTGTACTTTTCTTCGAAGATATTTCAGGTAGCAATAATTGCTGATTCACCTCGTATGTCACCTCGTATATTTCCCTGTAAAATAACGCAAAAAGATATTCAACGTTTTGCCGAATAAGAAACGCCCGTTTGATCCTTATTCATAAACGATTCTTTCGACATTACATGGCAATTTGGTGGCAAGGATTTATCTAGCAGAATTATCATCGCGTTGTGCAAATAAAAAATATAATATTTACCACTTGTGGATAGCACAGTGACGAGTCCTGGAGCTGCCCTTAGTCC